TTCTGTAAAATATTTTCAAAGTAGTTAAGTAATAATTAAAGAAATGTTTCACTTTTTTCTGCGTTTTTTATTTAATAAACTACGAGAATTATTTTAGCTGCAACGATGCATCGGTAGGTATTCAGCGAAAGAAAACTAAAAAGGCACCACAGATATATGGCCAACCACATGAAATTGGCAGCAAAAAAAAAAAAAAACACTTGAAAAAAATCCGAAACAAAACCAATGCAGAAAACCCTTTCATCGCGAAAATCACAGCAAATTTGTTCAAAATAATTATTGCTCATCAAGAAAAATTATTACGAAAAAATTGCCAAATATTTTGGTAGTTAATTTATTTTACTTAAGAAACATTTTTTTTTAAGTTGACATATAAACTTTTTTAATTTTTTTAATATGAAAATTCATTTTTTTTATGTTATGTATCTATATGCAAAAATTACTATTCTTATACATTTTTTATGCTCACGTTATGCTTTACTTAAATATTTCAATTTGTTTTATATTAATTTATATTACCTTGAATATATTGTAGGTATTTTTTCAACACCTCTGAAAAATATGAATGTGTGATTAATGCAACAATCGGCAAGCAAATTGGTATTTATAAAATAAATTGGCTCAACAGACTAAACAGCCAAGTGAGATAACTGCGACTTAAAGGCATATAACCTGGCCAAATACAGGATTTTGTTGTATCAGAAAATAATTTCGTTTATTTTTTTTTATACATTCGAAATAAATTACGTGAATTTTTTTAACAAAAAAACACAGTTTAAAGAATCGCAAGATTTTTAAATTATAATTTTTCTTTTCTCTAAATATTTTAACACATTTACAACTATATACACACACTACGATTTTTAAATATGTTTACTATTTATACTTATGCTTATGTATTTATTTTATTTTTTCAAAGCTTAAAGATACGAAAAATTGATAGGTTAAGCATAAGTTAGCTTTTAAGCTCAGCACACGCCATTTATGCAGCTTTTAAGCTTTATTACTATTAATTCAATTCATTGTGCAATTACTGACTTGTCAAGCACTCACTTCTAACTTAAAACTCATACATATATTCATGAATATATCTAAAACAAAAACACCTACATAACATAACCACCTTTAACCAAATACATGAATACTGAATCAAATACATTTTACTACAATTTATAAATGGCTTTTATAAAACTAAAAAGATAAGTGTTAATACCGCCGTTTAGCTTTTTTTACAAAAAGCTTTGCTTTATTTAAAGCTTTTTATTGAAAAAATCATTTCCTAAAAGCTTTTTACTGCAATTTTTTAACAATTTATTCTAACATTTTACTTGGTATTTTTTTAATTGTACATTATTTAACATTTGTATGAAAAATATACATTTTACTTTAAAAGCTTTCGATGAAAGCCTAGGAGCTTTTACACTCTTGAAATTCACGATTGATGAAATGTAATTTAGGTATCGCGAATAACTACCCTTTAGGCATTTCATTTATGTCGCTACTTTGCAGAATTAAAGTAAACTACAGCAATATTGCTTTCCTTAAAGTTTAAGAGCTTTTTATGTACCTGTATCTATTCTGGGATCTTAAGAAGCTTTCACAGCCATTCACAATTAAGTATGGTACAGGATGCTTTCCCCCTACCATAAATATTTGAAATCTTTGAGAATGCCTATTTTAGGTATGCAGTAAGCATTTAAATCTTTTACAGTTGGAACTTTTTCATATTTTAGTCATTAATATTGTAGGACAAGTTTTCCATTATTTATAATTTTTTTATTTTTTTGTTACTTCGACTCTTGCAGTTCGATTATTTTTCATTTAATCAAAAGAAGAGGATTGCTTCAAAGTGTTGAATTACAATTGGAAAAACATCTTGGCACCAGTGGAAATTTAGCAAATATAAGATTTTTCGAGTTAGATCTCAAAGAAATAGTCCAACTTGGAAGTGAAAAAAGAAAACTAAGAATCCGAATATCATATGTTGAGATGATGCTACCTCATCATTCTCCATACAGCCGGCTTAAGGTGATGTCGAGCTTCAGCGCATGCACTCCAATCAGATAATATCCGGTTAAATAGAACTCCCACCAGTAACGAGAGATCTGACTTATAAAATTTCAAGAAGTCTCCCTATTGCCGCCGGTTAATTTGTGCCCAGAAGGTTCTAGCCTTCTTGCATATCAAGGTTTTCATCCAGCATTGCCTAAGCTGAGTAAATCCCACAATTCCAGAAGTAAACAGCTTTTTGCCCCAACCCTTTCCTTCGTCGACAACAATTCTTCAAGAGCGCCCAATATCTTCGGCCATGCAATTGCCCACGATTTCGCTTTGGCTTGAAAACCCAAAAGCTTTATAGCAATGAAATTTGTTGGCATCGAGAGAGGTCAGGCGTTTCCTTACCGTTTTCGAAGATACGATAAAACAGCCAGAGGCCCTAATTGCCGCCTGGCTATCTTGGAATGTATTACCATTGCAAGTAATCCGAATGCGGCATCCCTTATTGCACCTAGCTCTGCTTGGAAAACATTACCCAAACATTAATCCGGGAGCCTAAATTTGAAGTTGTGGAGTACACCTCCATCTATTTTGCCCTACAAATTCTATCGATCCACTAAAAAATTCACAGGCCCATTATTTCAGGTACTTCATCTTATACAGTCCTCTTTAGATGATATGTGGGAAGTACAGGGTGTTTTAGCGCTTTCTTTGAAAAAGCGTTATGTCATTAGCATGGGCAGTCACTTTTCTCCAAAGTCTTCATCAGATCGTCGACCACAGTTGTGATAAGATGACTGCCTCTTATGGTGTATGATTCCTATAGAAACTAACTCAAGTTCTATGAAATCTAGATCCAGATCCAGATCCCCTAAAGCGATTAGGTACTGCAAAAATAACTAGTAGAAATGAAGAGGCGGCAAAATATATTTAACAATTCCTGTTCAGTGACACATTTCTACTTTATCGTGGCCTAAGGAAGCAATGAAATTAATTCCTTGCGCAATGGCTGACAAAAGGTCGAAATTCGGTTGGGAAAATGCAAGATTTTATAAAAGTTCTTATGAAATCTTAAATACAAATAGATTGCTAAAGAAAAATTATAATTATCGAATTACTGATGATAGACCGCAATCAAACGAGGAAATAACTTAACCATGATCCATTAGCGTCTCCTTAGGGTTTTATAAGTTGATCATCCCATATAGAGATATTTAACTAATTTTCCATACACTTATTATTGTATTCACAGTTTGAGATCTAATTGCTCTAGCTTATTAAAATTATTTTTATTAATAATGCATACATAATTTCTTATACATTTTTTTAATAAAAGTTCATTTTAAATTTTAAGTACATCAAATTGAAAAAATATGTATCAAAAACAAAAGTTAAAAACAACAAAACCAACAAAAAATTTTTTCTTTTTTCTTTTATTTTTTTCATTTCGATTTCGATTTACTTCCTAATTTCCTGAAACCATAAACACGCGCGCGCCCACGGCACTCATATACGTGCATATTATATGTATGCTTCGTTGGATGATGGTCTGCGAACAAAAAACAACTCTGCACGCACGCGCACTTTCATTTCATTCAATACATAAATACATGTACGCACTCACACACATACACACTTGCACAAACTTTTAACAACTGTTGCTCGCAATTTATAAATTTTCTTTATACACAAACAAAAAAAATCATAAATTTTTGTGAATCATAATCATGGACTGAATAAAATAAAATTCAATAAAATGAAAATAAATAAAATTGAATTAAAAAAATCAAAAAAAATTTTAAAAATAAAATAAATTAAAATAAAACCAAAAAACTAATAAATATCGCATCGACAAAATTGAATGTATTGAAAAAAATCAATTCATATTTTCTTATAATATTTTTACTTAATATTTTTCTTTGTTTGGAAAACGTGTTCCTAAAACATCTGAACTTAAATCTTATTTAATTTTTTAATTAAATTTGTTTTCCACTTCAAATGAATTAATAATTTTTTTTCCAACAAATTTTTTACTTATTTTCCAATTTAAATTAATTCAAACAATTTATTAATTTTCTAAATAAATATCGAAAAATAAATTGTACTTTTATTACTTTCACTTCTTAATAATTCTTTTTTAAATAAAAATAAATAAAATATCGACTTAAATAATAAATATTTTTCAATATGTCGACACGTTTAAATGCAAAACTTGGATTTCAAAACAAAATATATATTTTTTACAATTTTTCTAAATAATCTACAAAAATAATTAATATGAATAAAATGTGATATTTTCAAAAAAAAAAATTTAAAAACAATTAATATTTTCTCTCAACACGTTTTCACTTTATTTCATTTGAAAATTTTTGTTTCTAAAAAATTTAAATTTAAAATTTATTTTGCTTTCACTACATGGAATTCGTTAATATCTGATTGTTAATTTTGTTGATCCCTTTAAAACGAATTTCGTCCAAAATGCAATTGTGCTTAATGAACTGAAATAATTTTTGCTATTTATTGAACAACTTCCAAAAATAAATACAAAAAACAATAATTATGACATTGAAAAATGACTACCGTTTGCACATGCAACAAACAACAACAAATAACAAAATTAAATTTTAACACACCAAATTAATTGATGATTGTCATTGTGCTGACCATGTGTTATTAACGGACATTTTAAATTTTATTTTTGCTATTTTCGACCGCAAATCAACCATAAAATTACATTAATGACACAAATAAAAAATTAATTTAATAACTTATTATAAAAACGCGTACTTTTTACATGCGAAAAAAAACAATAATTCAATCATAAATCCCAAAATTGACAACCAATATGGCATAAACAAATTCAACAAAACGACTATAAATCACTTGAACGCACAATCACACACTCTCACGCACCTACTGTCACATTTACATACTTTTCCATTACCTGCACCCTAAATTGCACACACCTGACTTTGACGACACAACAACAATAACCACAACAGCACCATCATTCGACCGCCACCATGCAGACGTCCGCTGCCGTTGTCGCCGCTGCAGCCGCCGCTGCTCAACAGCAGGCCGCCCAAGTTCAAGCCGTCCAGGGTACATCGCAAACGAATGCCGCCAATGCTGCCGCCGTTGCCGCTGCTGCTGCGCTCGCCATGGGTGCGAGCGCTGCTGGCGGCGGTGGGGGCGCTGGCGCTCATCATGCGCAGCATCATCATCATCATCAGCTGGAAGTGGGCAAGAAACGTGCCGCCGCGGACAATGACATGTTGCAACTGGTATTTGTTCTTCTTCTTCTTCACTTTGTGTTCTTTATTTTTCGTTGTTTTGTGTTTGTTTCGTTGTTTAAAATAGTTACTTATGTATTTGTTCGTACTACTGTGTTTGTGTTCATTTCTTTTGCGTTGTTTAATTGATTGATTTTCGAGGAAAAGCAAGTTTTACTGATATAAACAAAACTTACTTATTTAGTTAAAATATAAAAAAATGGAAAAAATATTTTTCATAACTCTTTTTCTCACTCTTTAACTAGTTTTTATTGTTATTTTTTAACCAGAATTAAAATTATTTTGCTCTAACCAATGATTACACAATTTTTAAGCTAGTTTGCGCAATCTCGGTTAAATCTGACACCATTTATATTTCGTTAACATTTTTTATTTTAAATTATTTTATAGAAATTCTTAAAAACAAAGCTTCTTTAATGTGAAACACTTTCATTTCAAGCTCAATTTTGCTTACATTTAATTTGCTGCCTGGTGTGTACACCGCATTATCTACAGACTTTCCTGCTATGCATGCTTTAACGCTTGTATTAAAAAAAAAATACGCAAAAAACCAAATAGAAGCAATTAGAGCTTTTTAGAAGTCTGCTTAAAAGCTTGCCTTATACATGTCTACATACATATGTCAAATCAAAAATTATGAAGGATCTTCAGCTTCCAGAGCTTATAAAAATCTTTCAGGCGCGCAAAACTGAGCTTTCTAAATGTGCCCAAAGCTTTAGTTGATCATGCATTATCGCATTGTTGAAGAGTTTTTCTTATGGAAGCTACTGACTAAAACAAAAATATATTTTAAACCTTTTTACGGTGATAATTGTTATGTGGTAAGCTTTTGCTGTTGATTAAAGAAGCATTGAAATAACTTGCGAGCTAAAATGACTGCGAACTTCTTAGTAAAACATGAGTACAATCAAATAAAACCACCACGCACTTGTTTAATATGATAACTTACTCCGAAAATCGTGGGCTTTTATAAATTTTCACAAAACTTGCAAGTTATTGCAAGTTGCCAATATGGCAGCTTTTAAAAATCTTAAATCCGAAGTTTCCGCACGCGAAAGCTCTAAAAAGTGACGCGATTGCTTCAATTAAAAGATTCACATAAACGGCGCATTTTGATTTCTTAAAAAAAAAATAAAAACCCTTTAAATAATTAATTTACGAGACTTTTTGATTATAAGAAAATGTAAGTAGATCAGGGGCAATCAGAAAGAACCTGTTACTCAGTGCACTTCCATGTAGCAGTGCCGATCAGCAAGAGCTTTTACTACATGCACGCCCAAATACAATGTACGTACATATATTCCACGGGAGAAGCTTTCCAAAGCTTTAAATAAATTTTGTAAGGACGCGCACCGAGTAAAAGCTTTCCTTGCTCGTCGCGGTTATAAAACGTACAGAAAACTTTGGAACGCTGCTCACAGGGGTTATTTTGGACTTGACGACAGTAAACCAGAGGTATTAAAAATATCGAGCTTTCGAAAAGCTTTTTTATTTCCAGCTAAAATGTTTATTTATGAATAAATACAGAGCAGAAAATTTCGAAAAACCTACTAAAACAAAAACCTACATAAAAACTAAGCATTTTTTTTAATTTTTTTATAGCAACAGCTCGCATTGAACTCCGATTAAAGAAACTTTTGATTCTTCTGCAAAATTGAAAATATTCATTAAGAAACGCGCCTCTAAGAAAAATCCCTGTTAAACAGATGTTTTTAAAATCGAGGCGAGCAGAGAGTGCTTTTACTGTATTTATGCGCGCGCTCATATTAAATCTCCGGAAAGCGTTAGAGAGTTCCGGAAGCGGGCGTTGTTCCGAGCATCACTAATTTAAAATTTCGTTTGGGCTTTCGAAAAGTTCCGCGGACATAAATTAAGGTGCATATTAGGGTTGTCCTTAAAATAAATAACATAAAATATCACATCATTGACACCCCTTTATTTTGTTCAGCGTACGAAATGAAGACATACACGAAATTTCAAATTTTTTTAACAAATTTTTAGAAGTCGTTACAAGGGTTTGAAAAATTTAGATTTTTGTAAATCGCAAAAATTCAATAAAATGTACATATGAATAGAATAAGTTTCAATACGCTGAGCCATAGCTGGTCAAAGTCAAAATTTTTAAACTTTAATAGCGACTCTTGAATTTTTTTGTTTAAATATTTAAGTTTTCCTGGTTGTCATTTTTTTTTGTACGTAAATAAAGAGGCCTCATATACTATTTTGGTGTTGATATTTCAAGGACCGTCCTATTGCATAATTATAAGTAAGCAAGCTCGATTTTCATGATACTTAAGCAAGTGATTAAGTGCAATTTTTAGTCTTTTTATCTATTTCTTTTTTTTTTCAATGGTGCAAAGCGTTCGCCCTGAGTGAAAAACAGAAAACGGAAAGATATCAACCTCATATTTAATTATTAGTAGAAAAATGCGAACATACCAACGTACATACTAAGAAGTTCGATTATTCGCCTTTTTTCTAAACCGGTTTTCGAGTTATTCGAAAATTTACAATTTGAAAAAAAACAATACTCGATATTGAAATTGAGAAAAAACCGGATAAACCAGTTTTATTTTAGATAGTTTTCACACAGTGAAAATGCTTATCTCGGTATGAAGTCATGACCAAAAATTAAAATAAGACTATTAACGGTAAAGATAGCATTTATTTCGAAAAGAGCACAGCCAAATACGTGTAAATTTTTTTTAGATAAAAATTCGAAAAGCCTTGGAAATTTCGAAAAACTCAAAACCTTTATTGAGAGGTCAAGATTTGTATCAAATGAAAAGAAATCAGTTTATTCGATAAAACAAAGGTCTGGTTTATTCGATATTCGAAATATCAAGGTTTTCAAAAAAACCGCCTATATGTAGATATCAAAGAACAGTGGAAACCGGTTTAAAAAAGCCGAGTCAACCTAGTACTACATAAATATGTACTTGAATATATACTGTGTTGACGAATGCATACGTATTTATTTCTTGTAGTTAATGTATACCTCATGCAGTATATCAATCAATTTTTGATAGTCATCTAAATCAGTCTGATTTCAATCAATCAAATTGCCTTATAAGCAACCCCCTATTTATGGCTCCTCAGTCTTCCCAATTCCCATGTACATATGAAGTAGTTTGGACAAGCAAAAAACGCGTGATAACGCGCATTCGGAGCGACAAGTTTTAATGTTATTGATTAAGAAATATGTATGTACATGTAAGTATATTAGGCATATAACTTCCAAATGTACCTAAATACATTTAGATGCAAGCATACATACATCATACAAATTTAGTGAGGCAAGTGTTGGCTATAGGGCTAATTAAACGGTTGTTGGTCGCCAGAGCAACAAGAAATTAAGAATTAACTGCAAAAAGCTCGTATAATCTATAGAGGTTAAAGTGAAATTATTGTATTTTAAGGATCAAACTTAAGCAATTAAGATACCCAAAAGTTAACTTCGATTAAAAATCAAACCTCTAATAAAAAACAAACTTAATGAAATATTGAGCTTTAAATCTTTAGTGTTAGCCAGAGTTCTTATAAAGCAATTAAAAAAAGTCGCCATGAATATATCTATAGCAGTCACTACCAAAAAATAGCTTTTTGTGGGCTTTTTAATATGGACGCGTACTGCAATAAATACTACATTACGAGGACAAACGATTTTGTTTGCTCAAAGAACAAAAAATAAAGCAACTAAAACTTTTTGAAAGCTTAAGGCTTTTCAAAAGGCAAAGCAGAAGATTTAGCTTTGTCATGCTTACGAAGATCGTCACCATTTACATAAAAAGTTGTCTTACATCTCGGAGCAATCGGCTCCTCAGCCATGTTTTAGAGAAGAAAGTGTTTTCTATTTTTCAAATTTTTTTGAATTTTTTGAACTTTTTTCACAACGTACAAAATTCTTTTATTGTTACTCACAAAATTTAGTGTACGATTTTTTTGTTAATATTCGCAATGCTTTACAAGCTAAAATTCTTTTGTTAATTTTGTATTAAAATCTAGCTTATACTTTAATACAAAATTAACAACAAAAAAAAATTAAGAAAAATCTGCAAAGTTCCAGCAAAATGGCAACATCTTTAATACGACTTTCTAAAAACAATTCAGGTAAGCAGTTCTATAGCCCATTAAATTTTAGTGCAATCCGCGTTAACTTTTGAGAATTTTCGGGCTGACTGTCCTACGCATTTTTTTTTTCAATATATGTAAAGTATTTTCAGAACAAAAAAAAACGTACACTCAATTTTGTGAGTAACAGCATATTGCACTTACGCTAATTTCTCCCTAAGAAAAAAAAAATGAACTGTAACATATGATAAAATATATTTAGTTTTTGGCGTAACTATAGGGGTTATAGCTACAATATTTTAGCAGGCGTTACATTGTGCGGTGTAGAATAAATTTTCTTCAAAAAGTAAAATTCGAAAAAGTGTCACATACGATAACTTTGCGCAAAGATGTCAATATAATTAGCTTTTTATTGACGAAAAAGTCCTTGGTGTCCAACCTTGGTCAAAAAACTTCAAAAATCGTTACAAAAAATTGACTCTTCTGTAGATTTCATATGGGCTCGCACAGCGTAAAAGATCTCTCGTGGCATGTCGAAATGAAGTAAAGCAAATGAAGGAGCCCTTTTTCCTTTAAACCAAGCTTTCGAAAAACTCAAGTGAATTTAAAAAAAAAAATTATTTTCTTATATATACATATCTTTGTCCGCGAACACTAAAAGTTCAATCCCCTTAAAACCTAAACAAGCTTCCATTTTATTATATATAAAAGTTAAAGTTAATATTCCAAAAAGCTCAAACGTATTTCTATATAAAAAAGGGATAGTTAGCTTTATTTTAAGATTGCAAGCATAAAAGCTTTTAAGTACAGAAAGTTACTTAACAATTTCCGTAAAACCTAAACAATTTTCCATAATTTTTTAATACTTCAAAGCTAAGGGCAATAGATATTTCGAAAAGCTCCAACTGTTTCCATTTAAACAAAAAGCATAGTTTGCTTTATTTGAAGATCGCAAGCTTAAAAGCTTACAGAGTACAGAAAGTTACTTAAGTTCACTTATTTTTTGTTGCTTTATTTTATTTGCTGGCACATAAAGCAAAAATAATGTAAAACAACATTCCTGCATAAATATCTATAAATTATAAAGCTTTTATGAGCAATAAAAAAATTTGCTAAACAACAAAACAAACAAAAAATAAAGCACTTGCGCAAAATGTAGCACACTTTTCATAATCTTAATTTTTTGTTTAAACTTTTATTTCTTTTAAACACAACACAGCAATAGAAATTAAAAGCTCAAAAAAGTACCTTCAAATTGTATACCTATTTATTAGTTTACGTCTAGTAAATAGCTAGTTTATAACGACCAAATAATCTTAATCGTTCTTAATTGCTCATCATTATCACTTAACTAATTTCATCTGTTTTTTTTTTTCTTTCTGTGTATTCTTTTCTTCCACAACCTTCGTTTGCATCATTTGCGTTTCTACATAATGTGTGTCAATATATGTGTTTTAAACATCAACAAATCAATACTCGATAAAAATAAAATTAAATAATAATAATAATAAATCTGCATCGTATACTAACAACAATGAAAAAAAATAAAATAAATAAAAAAAAACCTAATCACAACACCGCCTTCTCAATGCCTTCCAACTACTTATTCGCCTACTTGCCTACGCAACCATCATCACCACCACAACCACTATCTCACCGCAACCACTGTCTACTACCTCTACTACTTCAAAATGCAACTCTGCCCGCAACTACTGTTACCACTACAACTAATTTCTACTTCAACCAATCCATCCGCTACTCTGCGCCTTCTATTGTGCCAACAATGCGGCTGTATGCCTTTATTCTACATTTTTTCGAAAACAAAAAAAAAATTACGACACTTGCATTTGCCAAAACCACCAAAAATAGATGGATGTTAAAACGGTTGGTTCATTTTACTATGAAAATTTCGTAAGTACTAAAACCGCATTTTTGTGTACCTTTGAAACTCCTACCTATTATACCTTTTCTACAAATCAATTTTGCTTCACTCTTTGAAAACAAAACAAAAAAACAATAATATTTACTTTCTTACTCTTTCAAGTTTTACGAAATTTTATTTGGACTCTTTAAATGCATGCATGATTATTTAAAAAATAACGAGCACCTTCGTAGATATAATTTAAATAAAACATTGACATGTTTAAAGAAATTACAATAACAATTCCTCAACATAAACTCGTTTTAAAGCTTTTGAGTAGTACACAAAGCTCAAGCTATTTCCTAATTTATACAGAATGCTAGTTTTCAAATGAAATCAAATTAGCTAGGACTCTAAAGAAAGCTGCTGAAAGCATACATATTTACATATTTATTAATAAAGCTTTGCATCGTTCTCATTCTACATCCTAATAGATTTTCTATATTAACGCAGAAAAAATAGTAGAGTTAAGCTTTAAACCGGAGATGAGAAACGCCTCACCCGCGGGCAAAGCTCTCTTAAACTTGCTGTATTTTGTATAGACGCGTGCAGAGTGAAAGCTCTCTCCCCCCCCCTTGCTTCTTTAAGCCAGTGTTGGCCAGTGAAAGCTTTTATTTTGTGTTAGCTGTATGCAAATTGTACAGAAAGCTTTGGCACACGAGCCTATGAAGTGGCCAACATTGCTTTAAGAAGATGCAAATCGTAAAAGCTTTCATTGAGCTTTTAATCTTGTATCTCTTTTTCAATCCTCACTTTTTTGGCGATAAGAATTAATGTTTGACTATACGTCAAAGGACAACTTTTATTGAACAAAATCTGTTCTTAGATTAAATTTGTTATTGGTTAGCGTTAACCAGTGCTGGCTACTCAGATCTTTTACCCATCTAAAGTACTCTTAAGGGTACATAAAGGTATTTTTTATTTTTTGTAAATGGTGAAAATGTTGTAAATCTTTTAAAAATCAAGAATATCATAGAGCTTGATTGAAGCCTGTGGCTCTGCATCCCTTCAAACATCAAAGTAAAATAATGCCTCCGCTTAAAGCTGATACTTGAACCATACTTACCCTTTTTGTTGCCAAATTTCAAAAGTTTTTGCAAAGTAGTAGTCTTAACCCAACAAAAGCATAGTAGAAATTCGCTGTTTACAAAATCAACTCTAAAAGCTTATCTTTTTAAAAACTTGTAAACTATAGTTTATGGCCTCGATATTTAGAATATGCATAGCCCAATTAAAATTAAATTAAACTAAATGCCTCGAAGAAGGCACTGTTATCAAGCCAGAGCTTTTAAGTATTTGAAAGCTTCCTTGCAGCTTTTATTTTTGTTGGCAGTATTTACTATTTAAATAAGCGTTTGCATTCGAGAGCTTTTATTTTGCGCCTGCCCCACGTGTGCCTTTGATGTAGATAAATGTGATTTACATCACTCGCGATCAAAACACGGCACACGAGCGAAGCTGTTTTATAAGTTCACGTACACAGTGAAAGCTCTCTTTGATCGCAACTGATTTAAATTTAAATGCCTAAGCAAACTCTAGGTCCTTTTTCTTTAAGCGCAGAAAAGCCGAATAGCAGACACTTACAACAATTCTGAGCTTTTAAAGTTTACAGAAGAAATTGTAAAAGACTAACAAATGTGGCTATTTTAGCTTAAATTGAAATTTAAAAACTTGTAACTCTCCATATTTTTTACCGTAATTAAAAGCAATAGTACAACTTTTCCTGTAAACTTTTAGCTTTTGTGTATATGTTGCACTTATTACATGTGGAAAGCTGTAGCGCATACGTTTTTAATTCGTTGCTTATTTTTTATGAGTTTTCTCAAAAGGAATTAATAGTTTATTTTTTTTTTAATTTTGTTAGCATAATTCAAAATGAACTTAAAAAGCTATTTGCTAAAGTTTTAGAAATACATGTCATTTCTCTGTATACCCTTTATTCTTTCAGAAAAAAAGTGCTTTGCCCGTTTCGTGGTTTCGTTTTATATTATTTATTTTTTCAGTGAAATTTGGGAAAGTTTTTGAAAATCGTTTCATTATTTTAATATATTATTTGCTCTTCCAATAATGTTGAACTCTCCACGCTCCATTTAATCGCTTTTGGATTTCCGTTTTAACTTTTAAAAAGCTTTTCTCTGCTTAAAAAGCATTTTTTTCTTAAAGTATTATTACTATTATTCTTAGGTTTCTTTCAGCATCTAGCTTTGCTCTTCCAAAAAGCTCTAATTTTTCTCAATTTATTATTACGCATATGTTTATTACTTTTTTTCACTTAAAAAATTATTCGTTTACACCTCGTATACTATTCATCGCCGACTGCACACCACCAGCATTTTTTTTTTTTTTTTTAATATTTTTTAATGTCCATACTCGTAGATGTAGCGTAAAGCTCATATCGCTTTTATGTATAAGCCTCTGCATAAGCTTCGAAGTTACACTTTTAGTCAGTTCGTAAGCTAGTTTAGCGTTACTGTTTATTGAAAGCTTTTATTAAACTCATAATCAAATTTCCAAAAACAAATTCATTAAAAATACTTTTTTTATTTTCCCACTTTCTCCCGTTTTCTGTCTCTCTTTCCCTCTTTCTTTGCTTTTTTTCAACAGGCTTTCTCCGGCATGGTTCCGTTCAAGCGTCCCGCTGCCGAAAAATCCGGTATTCCAGTGTATCAGCCCGGCGCGACCACCTACCAGCAACTCATGCAACTGCAACAGCCGTTCGTACCAGTGTCATGTGAGTACCAATCTCAAAATGGTGGGGCGCCATTGAGCGCCACTACCAGTACTTCTACTTTGAGTACTTCTACTACTTCTACTACTACTACTACCAATATGAATCCGTATAATGCTACTACTGCAACAGCAGCAGCACAAGCAACCGCCGCCGCCGCCGCAGCAGCAGCCGCCAGTACAACAACAGCGGCGGCCTCATTATTAGGTGCTAGTATTACAACAACACAACAACATCACCTCCACCACCACCAACAACAACAACAACAGCTACACAACCAACACTTGCAACAGCAGCAACAACAACAACACCAGTTGCACTTATTGCCACCACCTCCACCATCCTCTGCAATACCCTCAACAACAACAACCGCCACATCCAATTACCATTCACACCATCATTACAGTAGCAATAGCACCCTGTATAATAGCAACAATAATATAAATAATAATCATGACAATAGCAATTCTAGTGCCCTAACACCCCCTACCTCAACCTCCCCTCCCTCCACAGCAAACAGCACGCACCACTACTCATCCATGCACACAGAATCATTGCAAACAACACCACCACCCCTAAATGAAAACCGTACAGCAGCAGCAACAACAACAAATACAGCAGCAGATGTTAGTAGTTTGTATGAGACAAGTAGTAGTAGCGTACACATGCAGGCTAGTAATAACGGTACAGATGTGAGTAGCAATGGCTCGTCGTCGCCACCGCCACCAGCAGTGTCCTCCTCGCCGACGGCAACAGCAGCAACAATTTCGTCAACGTATTTACCATATGGCAATGGCGATAGTAACATGGCTAGTAGCAACAACAATAACAATAATGTATTATATGTGAATAATAATATTTTGAGTAGTGGTAGTAATAAGTTAGCGCCCGCCATGACAACAACACCACCTACAGCAGCCACCGCAGCAGCAACAGCGGCAGTTGAATGCGACAGTGAAGACATCGCTGGCGACGGCATCAATGCGGCTACTACGACCGCCACATCGGCAGATATAGGCGCTAGCATAACAACAACAACGACTACAACTGCTGCAACTGCCACTGCTGCTGCTGTGGGTGAACACACTATAGACACCACAAAAACAGCAGCAACCACATTGGCACTAACCCCGCAAACGGACAATGCTAGCACATATAGAAGTGATAGAGAAGCTAGCGGGGATAGCAGTTACAACAGCAACAAAAGCAGCATCACTAATAGCTATAGCTACAGCAAGTACACGTACAATGCTTCCGCTAACCAATACAGCGTCGCCAATTCGCCGGTCAAGTACACCACACACAAAGCGTCAACGGCCGCTAGTACCGCCAACGACTTGGCTTACTCCGCATACGCCGCTTACGCTTCACAAGCACAAGCACACGCTGCACAAGCCGCACATGCGTATGTTACAGCCGCCTCCTCTTATCCGTCCACCAGTCTTTCGAATGGCGCGCACGCCGACTCGCAGTCTTACAACAGCTACAGTGGCTTGAACGGTCACGCCACCTCCACTTCATCCACCGCCGCCACTGGCATATTGCCCACACCACATTCGGTTGCCTCCACGGCTGTTTCCGCCGCCTCAGCGGTTGCCTACCAGCATGCCCAACAACAACAGCATCAGCAACAACAAATGTTGCGTCTCTACAACCAGTACGCCGCGGTGCCCACAAGCGTGGCCACCTCGTACGCCAACCTCCTGGCGGCTTCTCATGGCGGCTATGCCACACCCACAACCACAATGGCGCACATGTCCGCCGCGTCCGGCATGACTGTACCATCGTACGCATCAGCGTATGGCATTACGCCTTCATCGGCTGCTGCCACTGGCACACTAACACCCACTTATGCCTACAGCGCCTACGGCAGCGCTACGCCTACAGGCTATTATGCCGATGCCAGCGCTCTTGCCAAGGAGGCCGCACAAAAGAACTATATTAATGCGATGAAGATGGCCGCCGCTGCCAACGCAACGGCCTTGAGCGGCAAACCGCTTACCGCTGCTGCTGCTGCCATGCCAACCGCAGCCAGCTATGCCGGCCTACAATTGGGTAAAGCCTACATGACCGCGCTGCCAAGTAGCGCCAATGCCATAGCTGCCCATCAACAACATGCCGCGCTACTGCAGCACGCCGCACATGCCCAACAGGCGGCACAGTCTCAGCAGTTGGCTGCCGCTCATGCACAGCATGCCGCATATGCGCAGCAGCTGCAGCGTTCAGCCCTGTCGGCGGGTTCGCTGCCCAATTCGGGCATGTCGACACCTGTCGGTACGCGAGTGCATACACCCACACCAGGCACCGCAGCTGCAGCAGCCGGTGGACTACTGACACGACCTTCTTCCGCTGCTGGCGGTTATATTAGCGCAGCTGCGGCGCACAATGCGCTGCGTCCTCAGGCTATGCAGCTGGCTGCCGCACCTACAGCCGCCGCTGGTAATCCGCAATATGCCGCTGCCGCCGCTGCGGCTGCAATGCAACAGCAAGGTTTCTTTTACCCAGCTGGAATGATGGCTGCGCCGGCAGCCGCCGCTTATCCATATGCGGCTATTGGTGCCATGCCAACTGGTCTACCAACGGCGGCGGGTATGCCAGCCGCGCTGCCTGGTATGGCCGCGGCGCCGGGCAGTGCTACAGGCAGTGCCATGGTGTTGAACCCATACAAGAAGATGAAGACATCGTAAAGTGTCTTCCGAGGAGGCGGAAAAGCGCATATGCATCGTGAGCTTCAGAGACTTACGAAACTAACGGATATGACAAACTTACTTGTTAGCTGAGTCTAACAGAAAACCGGCAAGGTGCTGCGTTGCAACTTTTTATGAGAAAAAGCTTGGCAAAAGCTTTTTGCAGCGCCTAGTCGTAGCACTTGTACTTAAAAAGTTACTTAAGCGTACTTTACGAAACGAATAGTTGGACTTTCAAACGAAATTTTTTTATATTAATATTTAGTGCCTATTTTTCGGGTATAACCTAAAATGACGAGCTATCGAAAGCTTTGTACAGCCTATGTGATGGAAATAAATTAATAGAGATTTTAGAGAAAAACTTAACAACGACAAAATGCCACTTGCAGTGAATCTATAATTCCTGAAAATAAAACTAAACGCCGCTAAGCTTTCGCACTAAAAAAATGTGCTTTTATTCCGTGCTTTTTTACTCCTTCGTCTTTTACTCCTGCTTTGCTAACAATTTGCACTCAAAAGTGCTCATGAGTTTCTGCATAGCGCTGAAAGCTCTACCTTAAAAGCTTACACGTGAAACATGAAATGAGATTTGCAATAAAAAATAAATTTAAGTCACACACCTTTTCAAAGCTTCTCTAAGTAGAATGACGTTGCCATAAAAAGGTATAATAAATGAGCTACTTCGGCAGTACTTGTTTTAGTCTTGGAATTTCCATTTTAACTTTTTATTGCATATGTATGCTCACAACAAATTTTGTGTTTGTGAATTATTTCTCTGCCTTATTCATGCCATTTAACCGAAATAGGTTATGTTTATGTCGAAAGTTCGATATTGCCATTAAAAATTTAAAGTATAGAACACGAGCTTTCGCAAAAGTTCAATTCTAGAGAAAAAAAAAACAAAAAATAAACAACATTTTTTAAATTAGTGCATTTTCATTGTTTTTTTAATTAATTTTAGGCAAGCTTAGTAAGCTCAGTTAGAGTAGGAGTAAAACATAAAAATTAAAAAAAACAACGATAAGCACAGCAAACGATACACTGTGATAGCTTTTTGAAATTTCCAAGCATAATGAGAAAAAATGCGAGTCACGTAGGTAAACACAAGTTTAAAAAATTTTTAAAACCATAGCGAAAGCTTTCCGAAGTTTGTAGAGTTGTAGTTGTAAATGATATGTTTAAATTTTCGAAACAAATTAGTTTGGCAGAACGATTCAAACAATTTGAAATTAGCATTTAAATTACGTTAAGCTTTTGATTAAGGAAATTGAACTTGAATGAAGCTTTCACTTTCACATGACATTAGTACGTTAAAAATATGTGCTTAGCTGTGAATTAAGTTATTGCGTATCAATTTGTTTTCGTTCCTATAAAGCCATGAAAAATATACCTACATAAAAAGAATTGGGGTTTTACATGTGGTTCCTAAAAAAGCTTGTTACACCACTTAAAACTTAAGAAAACTGGTAGGAGATAAAGCTACTAATATGTAGATACATAGGTATGCATAGAGTTAGCTATGGTTAAACTAGAAGAGAAATAGTCTTAGTTACGTATCACCAACGAAGTAAAAGAATCGAAAATTAATAGTAACGAACGCCGTGCTTCAGTGTGTACAACATAGATCGGAGCGTTTGAAGAAGTAAAATAAATAAATAAATACAAATTAAACAAAAAGGTGGCGTTGTATTGGTAAGCAGAAGTTGTTGACGTTGTAGCAAACATACGCACCCGAAACCCAGTGGAAGCTGTTACGCTACAAGCACATTATACACCAAATTTAATATTAGAGCTTGGAGGAGTGGATGAAAGGGAGTTAAAAGTGAATTAGTTATGTAAATCATTGAATGAAGGTAATTGAAAGTCTTCAGCGAAATTACTATTGGGAGACCTTTCACCTCATGAAAGCGTGGAATATGTGCTTTGAGCAACTCTTTTCGTTTGCGCTCCTTTTCAGCCGCTCTTTCGCGCTCTCTATTACTTGAGCACTCACTTTAGTTGTTATTTAGGTAAGCAACCCTCACTGCGGTTGTTTTGATAAAACTTTTTCTTTTTGCTCTTTTTTGTTTGTTTATACAATTACTTACAAATAATCTACATAGTTAGCTGTAAGTAGTGTGGCTTACTATTAGCCTATTTGGTGCTGTGTATTATCCACAGGCACTCGAATTCGTTGTTGTGCTCTCTTATGTGCTCTCACTTTTATTACACTCATATCTTCTCTGTAAGCTCCTAATTATTTGAATTAATTCAGTATAAAGAAAAATTCAGTTCAAACACTGCCTTTACTAGTACATAGAAACACAAGGAAGTATTTTTTTTTTTAATTAAATGTTGTTTTGAAAATATTTCAAGATTTCTTCGTTTTGTTATGTCACATTCAAGTAATTTATTTAATTTCCATCGTTCAGCTGTTCCTTTAACTAACTTTAAATACAGATATCCTATATAAGTACATACATACATATGTACCAACAACTACAATATGCAACGAATATGACGTAAATGAAGCGCTTAGTAGCGCGCGCTCTCTCTGTGTCTCTCTCTCAGTTGCTATACGCGGTCGTGCGCATTACACTGCAAGAAATGTAAGACACTTGCGTGTTATTATCGTAGTTTTTAATTTGTTTCTATAGAGTAGTCAGATATTTTAAAGCATTACATTTAAATTTGTGGTAGTTTTGCCTTAGATATTAGATTATAGTGTAGGTGTTTATAACGCAACTTTTGTTAAGTAATTATTTTAAAGAGGATTTCATAATAATTTAAGCATTTTAACTTGTTTTCTCGCTCGCTAAAATTTCGTTTGCTAGTTTTTAATTGAAGTTTTTTGCGTATTCTTTTTTTTTATAATAATTTTCTAAGTGTTTGCTGTATACGTTTAAATTGTGTATTGAACCTATGAAGAGAAATTGTTAAAAATGATTTTGTTGTTAAAATGCTAACTTTTACATACTTAGATCTCTTGTGATTATTATGCGTAATTTTCTTGTAATATTTTTTTTTACTTTATTTAATATAATAGTATTTGATTGACCGTTACTACCTTAATATTTTGTGTCAACTTAAGTTTTTGCTTAGTTTACAAACCAATGAAGTCCAGTGTAATTTGTGTTATTTACTTTGCTGCCTACATAATTTTTAGGATTACATTACTATTTGCAATCATTTTAAATGTATTTTTTGTTGCAAAGTTAAAGGATGATGAAGAGAAAAAATGCTGCGTATGTTGCCAATTAAATTTAATTTAGTTCTACATTGTTTTACAATTTAAAAGTAATTTTATTATAGTTTTAAAAATATCACTTTAGACTAGCTTAGTTTGCTTTCCGCCAAATAAAGCATTACCCACTCTTTCTATGCGCACGCGCTCTGGCTGATGTCATGCCCACTTCTATTACTCCTACTACGCCTAGACTACTGTAGCTACTCGGACATAAACTCTCACCAATCAGGGTACTTAAATAGCTTTTATACTCATTGTACTCACGCAGACTTTGTTGACACGCCAAAGCTTTCACACATAAAAAGCTCTTACATGCGAAAACCTATACACTTTCATACGGAGAAACTTTTGCACTCATAAGCTTTCATACAGAAAAGCTTTTACACTAGTAAGCTTTCACGCTCGAAAGCTTTTACACAGAAAACCTATTAAACTAAAAATCTTTCACACACACTATGTCTCGCAGGCTGTTTTGTTTTTTTTTTCAGTGAAAGTTTTTCCAACAGCGTTTTTTTTATTTACGCTTTCACTCACCTTCTCTCTCTCTGTCTCTATTTCCTCTCATTGCTTCTCTGTATTGCATACTCATTCAATGTTACTCTGTTTTCATTAAAAATACACTACTTGAAGACTACATAGAAAAGTATTTTCTACTACAAAAAAAAAAAATTGCTAACCGCAGACTTATATGAAAAACCACACTTTTGAGAAATAATACTGCAGAACTTTAAATCTAAAAACCCAACACAGTAAAAAAAAACAAAATGTGCAAGTTTGTAAAGTAACAAAAAAACTATTCATATTTATATGAAGCAGAGTTGTGGTAGATTATCGAAGCAGCTCGTTGGCTAACTATTTAATATCTGGCTATTATTTAGTGCCAAAATATTATATTTAAATAAATACAACCTACTTATAAAACTTATGCTAAAACGAAAATTTGTTGTATTTGTTAGCACATGCTAAATAATTTCAAAAATGTATGCTCTTTTTGTCTGTTTCCCTGAATGTAATATTATTTTATTATAGTTATTAAACATATACATATATCTATGTATTTATGTTTATTTATTTTTTTAACTAATAACTACAATCTTTGTATCATTGTTAGTCTCGCCTTTTTCTCGTCTATTTGGGAACAAAAAAAATATTAATTACATTTGTTAGTTTATTACTTAAAAAATTATTATACATTTAAACATTTTACTGACTATTGTTATTATTACGTACATACTACCTACATGCGTATATTCATTGCTATTGTAATTTTATGTTTTAAATAATTGTTTAATTCATTTGTGAAACCAACTTGGAAAACTTGAATATATAAATACATATAAAATTTTGCTTAAAAATCTTATTGGTATTTTTTGTTCGGTTGCTTAATATTAAAATTTCGAAAACGCTATCCGTTTTATTAGTTAATAATTGATTTTTTTTCTGAAAATCATACTTTTTATTTGCGGCAGAAAAAATTAGCAAACTATTCTACTCTCGCTTCTCTTGCTTATTCTCTCTCTTTCTCTTACGCACACGCTGTTTTCTACTTTGCAGGTTTATCAAACTAAAAGCTTCTTCAAACTTGTTCTTTACATTCATTCGTTCGTGTGTGTGTGTGTCTTTCTCTCTCTCTCTCTCTCTCTCATAATTAAGTACGCTAAGTTTCGTGTTTTACGCTCTTCGTATTCTAATTTAAGCACAAACTTAATAGCTCTTTTCTTGATGGTCGTTTTATGTATCATTATCGTGTCTCTGTTTGCTCTCATTTATTTTATTTTAGTGCCTTAATTTTCATGCTCCCTGTTTCATATATCATATTCAAGTATCTTCCTTTGATGGTGCTCATTTCATCCATTCACAAATTATTTCCTATTAGTTACTTTTATTATCTTCGTTTATTATCTTTCGTTTAACAAAGCTTGAAGTTCTTGGCTCATTTTGTGTGCCTTTTGTAAGCTTTTCTCATCCTCATTTCAGTCGCTCGATTGGCAGAGCTTTCATTCATTCGCTTGTTGCTCTCACTAAAGCTTGTTCAATTAACCTCTTTTTTATAAGTTTCTCAAAAATTTTAAATTACAAATTATTGTACTTCTTCCAAAACGTAAAAGTGCTTATAAAAGCGTATTAAATGCTTTTTACTAGACATACATATATGTATACTTTAAGCCCCGATTCAGCCAAAATTTAGACATATATGTTAATTATCAAATTAAAGCTAAGAAAAAGCTCTTAGTAAGCATCGTGTGGCTCTGAGCTTTTAGAAGTTCAAATGGTTCCGTTGATACTAATGCATCAGCATTTATTTATGATCAACTTCTACTTGCGATAAAGTTTTAGGTATAACGTGTCTATAAAAATCTGTAAAATGCTAAAAAGTAGCCGACTACATTATGCGCTTCATTGTTCTTAGCGTATTGCTTTGAACTATTACTCTAAGGACATAGACTTTCGGAGAGCCTTTACACCGTGCGTGTCCAAAACAGTCACAAGCAAAATATATTTCTCGAGGTAAGATTTTTAAAGTTTCCATTGGATTTTATATGGACGCGCAGAGAATCTCTCTTTGACTTAGTACAGAAAGCTTTTTGTCCTCTAATAAAAAACATATATTTTATTATAATTCCTTACAGCTTTCTTGAAAACTAAAAGCTTGCAAGTTTCATAGTACTAGAGGCTTCTGAAAATAATTGAATTTTTAAACTAATAACAAAGCATTTAAGAAGCTTTAAACAAATTGGAGTGATTTTCAACAGAGCCAAACAAGTCTTTTATATTTTATGGTGGTTTTTTAATTATGAAAAACTATAAAATTTCATATATCTTTTTACAATATGACTTTCTATTGCTCGAAAAGTTTGTAAAACCTTAAAATTCTCTTAGCTTTGAAATTTCGATATTTTTAAAAAACTTCTTTACACTTTAGATTTTTCCAGCTTTTCTAGTTTACATACTTATGTGTATTTTTCATAGAATTTTTTCCCACTACACTGCGATGTTCTTATTTTTATTTTTATAATGTTTTGTGGATTTGAATAAAAATTTTAGAAACATTTTAATGAGACTATCGGTTTTTTCACCTGTACTGTTTTTGTTGTTGTTTTTTTTTTAATGAAAAATTTATTTTCTAATTTTTTACGTAATGAAATGATAAAAGATATAATGAAAACAAATTGAAAATTTAATATTTACAAAAAAATTGTTAGGGAATTTAATTGAGGTTTAACATTTTTGAAATATAAAATATTATACTCGTAGTGCAGAGAATATTTAAAAGTAAAAACAGCAAATAATACAAAAAAATACAAAAAAATACATACACATGTTACCATTGAGACTTAGAAAGTTGCGACATTAAGAGGTTTTTGAGATAAAAATTAAATATTGAAAAGAAGACGTCACTACCAAGGCATAACACTTATACACTATTTCATATACAAACATAAATATGTCACTATGTAAATATGTTTACATTAGTTTTTAAATAATTATTGAAAGCATAGGGCTTTTGACGTTGCTTTAAAAAAAAAAGTTTTAAAAAAATATTTATATTCACTAGAAATATTGGAAAAAATAGATTAACTAGAAAGAAATGTCCAACAAAATATTAGAGACCCAAGAAGCCCAAGTTAGCCGAAGGTAAAATAAAAATAAGAAAGTTCTACATATTTAGTCGTTCTTAAAAGTGTTGATATTAGAATTTTCTAAAGCGTAGAAACAGTTGCACTAAAAAAAGGATTAAATAATTTGAAAATGAGCAAAACGTTCAAAAATATGTATGTACACACATATTGTTTTTTTATTAATTTCCAATGGTTTTACATTTCGTGTAATTATATGCATACAAACAATAGTTGTTTTATTAAAAAAATTATAACTATTAAAAAATTCTTTTTTAAATTAGTTATGAAGCTATACTTTATTTTGCGTACAAAAAATTTGTTTTGTTCTTTCAAAGCTTTTTACCTTTATGCCTTTCATTTTCGCTTTTACTTATATATGTCAAGAGCTTTTTGTAGTAGCTTTTGCAGCTGATGCACTAAAAGCACAGACACACATGTAATCCAAACAAATTACGAAAGACAAAGTTACAACTACATTTTAAAAATACAAAAACATATAAACAAACCGGAATGTCAGTAGCAAAATACTAGGTAAAAGCTCCACAGTGAAAGCTCTACAAGAAAACCAGCTTTTTTTCAATTACGAACAACGAATACTCGATTTTTTAAATAAGTTCAAAAAGCTTAAAAGCATAGCAATGAAAAAGCTTGCTTTGGCATTCCAACCGATTTCATGGAAAAAGCTCAGCAACTAAAAATTTAAGAAATTAGTGAGCTCCATAAAACTTGTTGTCACCAGTAAGTAATTGTAATTAGAAACGAAAAAAGGTAAAGCCAGAGAAACCGAACTTTTAACTTTGTGAAGCTGCCAGGAAGGATTTTCCGTCATTCCATCTACAATTTGCTGTTTTGCCCTAGCAAAATGGCACTTCCTTTTCGTTCTCTTTATTTTGTGCTAATTTTGCTTTCCTGGAAAAAACTTTTGAAAATTAGAAAAAAAAATTATACGAAACTTCGCCAAACAAAGCTTGCAAAAAGCTCTTTACCATGATTTACGTTCTTAAAATAAACAACTTGTAACGTCAGTTAGTTACTTTATTGTAGAATTAAAATGAATTAATAACCGTCCATTCTTAAGATGAAAATGCTTGAATGTTGCCATAAAACAATTGATAAAAGCTTAAACATTTTTGTAAGGAACAATAATTTTTAATTTAAAAGTGGAATCGATTAATTTTTATGTACTTATGTAAATGTGCGACGCAATAAAGAAGTAGTAGTTTTTAGGTGCAGGTCAGGAATTGAAACCAGACTTAATAGGAAGCTTTGGAGATAACTAGCAAA